CTATATTTCTTAAAATATAATTTATATTTTAAATTTGATAATATTTAATATTTAAATTTTTATATATTTTATAAATTGTAATTATATTTACCTTTATCATTTAAAATAATTTTTATTTTAATAAAATTTAAATTTTTAAGAATAAAAAATAAAAAATTATAAAAATAATAAAAAAATTATAATTATAATTTATTATATACACCTTTATCACTTGAAGTGAATTCTAAATTATAAATTAGTAAATTTAATATTTAATAAACAAAGATAAAGTATAATTAATCCAATTATAGCATTTAATAACTTATAGTAATACTACCTATATTGCAAATTTTAATATATTTAATGTTTAAATATGTTAGTAGATTAAAAATAAAGTATTATTTAAAATTAAAAAGATATTATATTTACCTTTAGTACATCTTAAAATGCAATCTATATTTCAAATTTTTAATGAATAAAAATTGGATATTATGAATGAATTTAATAGTATTTAATAAATTATGATTACCCTTTAATACATTCTATATTTCAAAAATAATTAATATTTTATAAATAAATTAATAAATTATAGATATATTTAATAATTAGTTATATTTACCATTACAATAAATTTCTTCTTGATATCTTAATGCAAATGTATTACTTGCCTCAAATTCTATCAATTTATCAAATCGCAAGTGCTTGCCTATATTCACCTATAACAAAATACAATTTTCCTCGGTATTTTAGTAGATTAACATTTTGTTCATTATCTGATGATTGTATTAAATCTGAAAATTTCTTAATCTGTTGACTTATTAATTTATCATTGTATGGATTAAGTATTTCAGCCCAATCCTCCTTTAAAGATTCATCGATATCATCATCATTCATCACTACCGGTAAGTAAATAATTAATATTAATAAATTAAAAAAAAAATAGAGACTAAATAATCATACTTGTGTATTTAAACTTTCTATAGCCAAAGTTTGCTCCTACAGATCCACCTGGTGACGACATTCCAACACAAGGATACAAAGCATCTTTTATATCATGGAATGCAATACCTTAAAAATACAATAGACGTTAAATGCCTATTATTTGATTTGATTTAAAATAACCAAACATTTGTAATAGATTAATAGCTACCTAGATTCACTCCGTTTCTGGTATAAAATACCGTATTATTTCTAAAGTTTAAACAGCATCCAATAGTATCACCAGTAATAAATTTTGGTCCATATGAAATGCCATAATTATCGTTATACTTATTTCCATCATCACCATGATAACCCACGAACTATCTTCAAAGCCTACAAATGAATAGTAAAATAAATAATTTCATTTAGCGAATTACCGGTGATAAATTATAA